CAGGCACAGGATAGTGCCTGAGCACTGTACCTCCTCTGCACCTGATACCAATCAGGAAATGCTTTCTTCAATCCTTCCAGCATGGGATCTCCACAGGAGCAAGCCAAGCCCTGCACCTGATACCAATCAGAGATTGCTGCCTTCAATTCTTCTGGCATGGGATCAGGCTGAGCTCTGCACCTGATACCAATCTTCTGGCACAAGATCGGGCCGGATTTTGATATCAGGAAGAAGATATAAAAGATGACAGCTGTTAACTTTGCTGCCCCTGCCTTCTTGTTCTTGCAGCGGCCTGCCCTGAGTGCAGGGCATAACTTCTCTTTTTCCTTCACAGCACTTTTTCTTCTTGAGCACTTCTGCATTTCTTTTTCTTCTTCTTTGCCCTAATAAACATTAAACTTCCACATTTATCAGTTGTCCTGTCCAATTCTTTGAACAGGACAGTAAGAAGCTAGAGAGTATCACTGTGCTGCTAGTCACAATATCCAGTAACATCACCAGGAGGCCTCTCTCTGTCAATCACCACCAATGCCACCAAGCTTTGCCCTTGGTGAGCGGGTAGCTACTTAGCAACTGCGATACCGTGGGTAACTAGTGTGCCAAGTCACTGCCCATGTCTTCCCAGTAACCTGTGCCAGATTTCTCCTTTCCCTCAGGGCCTATCGTCTGCAGTCCTCATCCTGATATCAATTTCCATATCAACTGAAGTTTTTTTGGCTGCAAGCTATAGCATTTGTACCAGGGATTGAACCCAGATTTTTGCACTGAGATACATCCTCGCCCTTTCTGAGACAGGGACCCACTAAGTTGTCCAGGCTGGGCTCAAACTTTTAATCCTCCTGTCTATGCCTCCCAGAGTGATAGGATTACAGGCATGTACTAACACTCAGCAATTTATTCTGGGTAACTAAACAAAAAAATTGGTGAAAAGAAGCTGAATGACTCATGAAATGAAGGAGGACCTGATCCACCATGCTTTGGGAATGACAGGACCCAGGGAGTCTTGGTAGCAGCTCCTCAGATAGTCTCTTTATGATATCAAAGGCAGAAGGGCTCTGCCCTGTCTGCATTAAGCTAGTACAAACTCTGCCGAAGACATGGAGTGCCAGGAGAGAATCTGACTGGCTGACTTTGGCCATGTGTCCACCTTTGGGGGTGAGCGTCATTGTGATTGGGACCATTTGTATAGAATGAGAGAGTTTTCCCCAAAGAAAGACCAAAGAATGACCAGTGACATCAAAGGAAAGGACACGGATGCTGCACAGAAAAACAAAGATATTCAGAGGACCGGACCTGGGTACCCATGGCTCCTGGTTTATGTCCCTGTGGACCATCAACAGAACCCTGATCATCCTTCAAGTCTCCAGCTCTGGTGACAGCTCCTCTCCACAGCTCTATCTGAAGGCTTCTCAGGCAGAAGTAATTGTTCCCTTCTCTGAGATTCTCAGGTACTCTACACCACACCTCTGCTACCAATGCGACACATGGCTTATCTGTGCCCACTGGAATCAGCACGGAATCTTTTCATCTTGTCTCAATCAACACAATGTTGGAAACATAATGTTTGCCAAATTGAGTGGGTTGAAATCTTTTCTCACTGTGTCAAGACTTGGTAACCAGTAATTTGCACCTGTTTTGAGCATCTCCAGGCAACTCTGGTGGGGGACTTTCTACTGTCCCGGCAGTTTCTCTCTGACTTCTGGCAGCTTTTCTATTTGTGTTGTAAGATTTTCTGGGAACACTGTACTGGTTTGCTTTGGTTTTGAGTTCTTTGTTTTGTGTATCTTATCTTGCTGGGGTTTCTTCCAATTTGTCATTTCTCTTTGTATAAGGGAACTCAACCATTTGTTGTGTGTTCTGGCTGGCAGGAAGGCACTGTGGTCCATTCTTGGTATGCTGGCTTTCTGGATGTTGCTTAAATATCTTTCAACAACTTATGACAGCAAAACTCATATTTCTGAATTAAGAATCTTGGGTTTACAGAAAATATCTCTAGCACTGCCCAAACCTAGTTGAGATTCTTCTGTACTTTTCTGTGGGAGTAGTGTAGTTTCAGCTCCACACTTTCAATGAATTGGTTTGGATTTAGCTTATCTCCCCAACATCGCAAGAGTAGGCACTTCCCCTCACCCACTTCCAATTGTATAGTCATTCTGGATTTTTTTTCTAATGATGGTTCTAGAAATGCCCTTGTTTCTGCAAACACAGAAGTGAGAGAGACATGCTCTCATCCTTTCTGCAGCATCTTTTCACCCTCTTAATTCACAGCCAACAGAACCTAGATTTTAATTTAGGAAGCCATCTCTTCTATATTGCATAGCCATTGTCCAGCTGAGTGAAATATTTCCCCTTTCCCATGTCCAAGGGTGGGCCTCAGAGGACAAGCCAATCAGCTTCATCTTCTCCCCTTGCAACAAAGATCAGGCCAGGCTGGTCCTATAAAACAGAGCTGAAGACTTTGTGTGATGACTGGGAAATTTTGCCTCCTGTTTTCCCCAATGGATATGCGGAAGCAGAAGGCCCTAGTGGCACATACAGCCATCTTCCAACCATGAGAGAAGTCAGCTTATGAACAAAGGTGGTCCTGGAAAGAAGCCAGATGGACAGAACTGCAAAGGAAACAGAGCCAGAGTCTTGATCTAACCATGTCTGAAAGCTCCCTTACCTACAGAATCTTCACTGACTTCAGCCAATAGGGAACCATCTCTGGTTTTGCTCTGCATTGTATCCCTGGCACACAGTAGGTCCTCAAATAGTTTACTGACTGAATGAGCAATTAACTCTTCCAGGATTTATGGTCTGTAGGACCCTTAAAGTTCTGAGGGAAGCAACAGAAGGCTGTAACAAGAAGCAATAAGAAGATTAAGGGCTCTCAGTAAAGGGTCCACAACATTGTAGGAACTTAGTAAATGAGAGGCGTGTCCCCTTAGTAAATGGTAGTCATTTGATTTTGACATTTTTATTATTAGGATGACGATGACGATAATGATGACGATGATGACTAAGCTAAAAGAGACATATTCAATATCAAAAGCAAAAAAGATGGTACTGAGAGCCTGGGCTCTGCTCCACCTACTCACCTCTACCCCAGCCTCCATGCCAACTACTCCATCCATCCCCCCCATCACTTCTACCCATCACCCCCACTCACCCCCCCAATCACCTCCACGCCTCTGTCTGCCACGTGGGGATAACAATCCTACCAAAATGGTGGCAGCCCTGGCCCAGCTGCCTGCTCTTCCCCAGTAGGGGTAAGTGCTTTGAGCTTGGGGATAGCAGATGCCTTCTCTGTGGCCTGGTAAGGGTGGAAGGAAGGAGGGACGCAGTATTACAGGTCCTCCTGTGGGCAAGACCTCCTCCCAAGGATTTCCCACCTCTCATTTTCTTTCTGTCTGGTCTACATCCCTGAAAGGTCAGTTTAATCATCTTCATTTTGTGGATGATGGAGCTGGGCTTAGGGAGGTCATGGAGCTGGCCATGGTCACATGGCCCTAAATGGAGGAGCTAACACTGAAGCCCTGCTTTTGCTGGTGCTTTCTGCCACACTGCATTGATGCTGTGAAAACCATCATGCCAACGACTTTTCCAGGTGCCTAAAGCCATCCTCCAGGTCCAGGTCCTACCAATATTGCAGCATAGGAGTCTTGCAGTTGCTGTGTTACCCCCGCCAGGCTCTGGACAACACCCTAGGTTTTTTCTGCCTGAGGTACAGACCAGCAGGGTCTTGTCAGGCATCCTTAAAACGAGTCACAAAGGTGATTGTCTCTGACACCTGGCTCACCCTGGGGAACAGCCCTGCTGCATCAGGAACAGCTGTGATCCAAGCCTCCCCGGCAACCAAAGCTAATTTTCAGGTATTTAGGAGGCAGATCCTCGGTGACTCACTGTTTGAGCTCTGGTGACCCAGGCCAGGAGCCAGGGGCTGCCAAGAGATGCCCTCATTAAAATCAAAAGGAAATAGTGAGCAAAGGGCAACCCCCACCCTAGGAGAACATGACTCACAGCCGCTGGGAGCTCCAGGGTGGGTGGACTCCCCTCTCTGATCCCCAGCCCCCAATCTTCTCTACCACAGGGTGAGAACATAGCAAGGAGAGGCCCAGGGGAGTCATTAGCAGGAGTGAACAGGCAGGGCTGGAGGCAGGGCTGAGGAACCATGCATAGCATGTTTGCTGAGCTTTAAACCCAAATGGAGGCCCAGGGACCGGTGTAGCTCAGCCTTTCCTGCCTGACTTCAAGCCGAGACCTCCCCAGGGGCTCCAGCCTCTCGCCCTTGCAGTTTGTGTCTGGATTCCTTCCTGGAATTACCAGCCACTGACAGCTCCTGAGTCTCCTCTGCCAGAAAGGAGGCTGACCCAGGCCCCAAATCAAGGCCCAAAGCCAGGTTCTGCTCAGAGACTCAGTGTGACCTCTCTCCTCTATGGGTCTTTCTTCCAGCTTAAAAAAAAAAAGAAATTAAAGCTTAAATTTTACAACTGTGTTAATGTAAAGACAAATACAATCCAAACTGTATTATACTGATTTTGTAAGAAATTAGAAGATTTTAGAGGACACCCCAAAGTTCTATAGGCACTAGGCACTGTGCCTTCTTTGCCTGGTGGATAATTTATCCTTCCTGGGTAAATCCTTTGGGATGCCTGAGCCCAAATTGTGGCTCAGTGTTTATTTAGGCATGTGCTCCAGTTTCCCCTCCAGAGAATGGGAGGGCAGTTGAGGGCTTGCTGAGATCCTTTGGGGAGGGGGTTAACACTGTGCCTGGAGACACTTCAGAGAAGTCCAGGTGCTTAGTAACAGGAAGGAGGCGAGGCTTTCCATCCTTATAACACAGACAGGAAAACTGAGGTTCTAGCAAGGAAAGGACCTGCCCAAGGTCACGTAATAAGCAGAGGAACCAGGATTGGCCACAGACTCAGCAGCTCCCGAGCCCCGAACATTGACAGAAGTGGATGGTCGAGTTATGCCAGTTGCAGGTTGGGAATAGGGAAGACAGGGGAGCCTTGGTTCTTGGTTCTTGCCTCTGGTTCTGCCCAGTGGAACCGTGGAAATGACAGGCTTGGTACTGGGCCCTCCCAGGCTGGGGGAAATGAAGTCTCCCTGTCTCTCTGTGTCTCAGTTGCTGAATTGGTAAAATAGGACTGAGGAAGAAATGCCAAGAATGAAAAGCACAGCGCAGCCATGGATGGCCCCCGGGCTCAGGCCGTGGAAGGTAGGATGGTGATTCTGGAAGAGGTGGGTATTGGGAAGGGTGGAAGAAGGAAGAGAGCCAGGGATGGCCCCCACTCTCACTTCCATGCTGCCTGGCCCCTCCCCTGGGGACTTGGCCAAAGTGTCAGACCTGCAAGAATCACTGCATCCTGGGCACTCCTCGGGGGTTAATGATGGGGAGTAGACAGGACCTGAGTATTTAACTAAGTGGGAGGTGCCCTGAGATCAAAGGCCACCCGGCTCCCTTCCTTCCACTGCACCAGGCTCTTCTGCCCCCTCCTCACTCCCCTCCAGGATGAGACCTCCCCCTGTCCTGACCTTCCTTTTCGTCCTGGGTAAGTGACCTCCATGACCTTCCCCATCCCTACCCCATCTGGCATCCTTGGATGCCCCTGAGCCTGGCTCTACTGAGAGGGTCATGGGTACAAAATGCTGAAGGTCACCTTTTTCATGCCACCAACCAGGGTGATCCTGAGGCCAGTTTGGACTAAACTAGCAGTGGCTAGAGGAGAGGGGAGGGAGAGGAGGAGAATGCAGCCTGAGAAGAGGTGAGGGGCACAGGACAGGGGCTGGGGGGCGCCCAGCAGTACACACAGGGTTCCTCCCCAACCCTGGCTTCTGTTTCTGGCTCCAGCCTGCCTTGGTGGACACTTCCCACCCCCACCAAGACTGAACCAGAAGGACACTGAGGAATTCAGGGAGACTCAGCAAGGTGGTTAGGAAAGATGTCTAATGGTGTCTGGTGAGATCAAGGGGGACAGAGTGCTTCTGGGGGAGACAGGGGCCACCACCTGGGGAAAAGATAACGATTCTTTTGGAGAGGTTTGAACAGCCAATGGGGAGGACCCAGAAGGGGCGAGTGAGCAATATTCTGGGAGACAGTGGGGGCCCATGGGGTGGGTGACGTGGACCTGATGGGGTGGGGATTAAGGGATTAGGGTGCAAAGGGTGCCGTTCCAGGTATTACTTGCTGTCACTGTTATTGGTAGTTGGGTGCTTTGTGGAGGGGAGCTTAACTGGACAACTGATATGTCTGTGATTAGATTTGAGGAGACCTTAGGGCCGGACCCTGGATGAGATGTTCAGTGGTCCTGAGGGAACTGCTGTCCTCTGCCCTCTCCCTCCACAGTGGCTCTGGCCAGTGGGAACCTGGTCCAGTTTGGGATGATGATCGAAAAGATGACAGGGAAGTCAGCACTGCAGTACAATGACTATGGCTGCTATTGTGGTCTTGGTGGTGCCCACTGGCCTGTGGACCAGACTGATTGGTGAGAAAACGGCCAGTAGGGGACCCCTGGGCAGAAGAGGGGCTGGAGCATCCCAGGAGGAGGGAGGATCTGAGGGAACCTGGACACAGAGACCAACCCTCTCTTTGAAGCTCCTCTGGGCCCTTGACCCTGGGGAGCCCCTGCAGGTTGACCATGACCCCATAGGTGCTGCCATGCCCATGACTGCTGCTATGGGCGAGTGGAGAAGCTGGGCTGTGAACCCAAAATGGAGAAGTATCTCTTCTCTGTCAACCAGGGTAGCATCGTCTGTGGTAAGAGAACCCTAGAGTGACCCAGACACTGGGAGGGGTTGGGTACAGAGTGAGACAGGAAGCCCCTCCTGATAGTGACCTTTGACCTTGTCAGGGCCAGAACCTGGGCTGGAGGCATGAGTTTCCCACTGTCACCTAAGACTAGAGAGGCCTGTCCATCTGCCCAGATGCCCACTGGGCACTGGGGCTAGAGAACTCCATGGCCCGTCACCGCAGCCCTCATCCTGCCTTGGCCCCAGTCCTTCCTCCCCAGCCAGAGACACCCCATCCCCAGCAGCTGGCCTCACACCCATCCCTAGGATGGAGCCAGCAGGAACTTAAATTTGAGACAGTAGATCCTGTTCCCAAGGGCAGATTTCCCTAGTAAGGCTGTAAGACTGGGCCCATTTTCATCCACTCTGCCACATCCAGTGCCTATTTGGACCAATTAGCTTCCTTCTGGGGCCCAACTGGGGAAGCAGCCCGCACCCACCACGAGAGTGTGGAGGGCGTGCAGATCAAAGGACCAAGCCTTCCTGCTGTAAAGTCAAGCACAGCCTGGAGGGAGGGCAGGGCCCAGCAGGTGCGGGTGAGAGAAAGACCTGGGACATCAGACCAAGGCAGAGCTGACTCAGAGCTTCTTGTTTCTGCAGCGGTCCGCTCAGCAGGGCAGCTTTGTTAGGTAGTGAGCTCCCCATTGATAGGGGTTCATGCAAGTTTAGAATAATCAGCTGTTAAGATGGTGCTGAGAGAATAAGGGAAGGGAGGTGTCAGGTAGGTGAGACACAGGCTCTGGATTCTTCTCAGGGCTTCACCTTCTACCCACTGTGTGACTTGGGACAGGTGACAGCCCCTAGAAAGTGTCTACTTCCTCAGCTATCATGCTCGCTTTGCCAGCTCAGTCCAGCTCCTGGTGAGAATCCCAAAGAGGCTGTTAGGGCACCATGCCCCTTCTACTCAATCCTGCCGAAATAGTAGGTGTGGGCAGAATCCTGTGGGAATTGAGGCTTTCCTTTGAGTAGGAAGTGAGACACCAGGACCCTTCCGGTCAGGAGAATGTTTTTGTGGGACAAAAGCAAGCCAGAGTCACTCTGGGCAGAGAGAGGCAGCTGCAGCAGAGAGAAGAGTAGCCTTCCAGGGCCCTGGCATCTGTAGCACTGATTCCAGCTAGCTGTGTGGAGGGTGGAGTGGGAAAGTCTGACCAGGCTGGGTATGGGCAGAAAAATGTGCCATGTCCACTCTGATGGGACAAGCAGAGGCCCCCATGCAGGCCTCATCTTGGCCTAACAGCCCCAGCCTGGACACAGGCCACTTGGGCTTGCACAGGCCCTCTGGGGTTGATTGCTGCATTTCTTAGCTTCCCTCTGCTTATGGCCACAGTGCACAGTCACAGGGAAGGGATGTCCTAGAAATACCCCTGGGCAGGGGCAGGTGACAGTGCATAATCACTATGTAGGAGAGAGCTAAGAGCCATCACAGTGCACTTGGGGGAGGAAGGAGGGACACAAGAGCAAACTTCTGGCTGGCTCAGTATCCTGGGCCCCAGCAGGCCCTGCCCTTGCCTCCCACCAATCCCTGACACATCCCCCAAGAGCAGGGGCTTCTACCACTATGGGTGGGTGACAGGGTCAAGAGCATGGACCCACCAGTATCCAGGAGGTGCCCCATCTGTGTCTACAAGCGGGAGGCCTGAACCTCTATCCGAAAGTCATTGACTTGCCTTGTCCCATCCAGCCGGCAGGACCGCCTGCCAGAGGCAGACCTGCGAGTGTGACAAGAAGGCTGCACTCTGCTTTCACCACAACCTGGACACCTTCGACCGCAAATATGTCAATTACCCCAACAAGCTGTGCACGGGACCCACCCCACCCTGCCCATCTCCTCAGCCCAGCCTCTGGCTGCCATAAATCCCAGGCCAGGGGAAGCTCAGAACCAAAGCCCTCCCTCTGGAAAACTCCTTTCCTGCAAACTTGGCCCTCCCACGATGCTCCCAGGCTGTGGCTTCCTGGGCCACCCTTTCTCTCCAGGAAGAGCCCCAGGAGCCATGGGATTCTCTGGTACCCATAAAATTCCCTAGCCGCCCCCCCCAGGATCCTGGTTCCCTCTTCTGAATAAATGCATAATATTTCCCCATAATTTCCCTAATATTCTTTGATTCTCAGATTCTGATACCCTAGGATTTAGTGCCTGCAGTTTCATTCATTCATATTTTGAGCACCTACCTTGTGCCACCCCCATGCTAGACGCTGGAACACAGTGGGAACAAGTCTGGCATGATGGCCCTGCCTACAATGCCAACTTTAAGTCCTTTTACTTTTCCACAACAGTAAGTTTCTGTGGCTCTTTTTTCCTAACCTTCTACAATCTTACCCAAGACAACCATGCCAATTTCTGGGAGGAATATTTCTGGTTTAATGTGAAAAGAAGGAAAAATATCAACCTAAAAATATTGTCCCCACTGTCATCAGGCCTCAGAACACTCCCACCGGCAAAAACTGCTTTAGAGCGATCTTATCTTATCCAAACCACTTTGTCAATGACAGACATCTGGGAGTCAGGGGGGATGTCCTATGGAGTAGTACCCTCACCCCAAGTCCTTCATTTCTTCAAAAAAGTAGCATCAGCCACCAACATTCTACAGTTGTCACTTTGGAGAGACCAGATGGGTCTCACAGTTTTCACCTGCTGTAAGCAGATGCAGCTGGGTCAGACTCTTGACAGGGAGAAGGAGAGTTCAACAGCACTAAAGGATTCCCACCAGGAGGCACACAGCCTACTCTGGAAGTGATGTGCTTTGGCAGGTTTTACTCCTAACTACAGCTACAGCAGCTCCACGAGCTACAATCTGAACCTACTTAATGAGACAAAGGATGTCAAATGCACTGTGCTGGGCAAAGCTCACAGCCCAAGCCCAGTAAACATGGTCTTCCCTCATCCTTCTCATTACCTGTGCTCAACAGTCAGGACTAAGAAATCAAAGGGATGCTTTGTCATGAACTTCAAAAGGCAAAGAAGCTCCGTGTTAACAAGTGAAGTTGGGGATGGACGTGTGCATGTGCTTTTGCTGCTGTGACTCCAATCACTGGAAGGCGGTGTCTTAGAGCAAAAATGGCTTACACGGAGGAGTATGACACGCATTTGTCAGGAAAAGTGGTCCTGAGGCGCCCTCTGGTGTCCATTTTAGACAGAACCCTGAATTTGTCTTACACCTGGATTTCCTTTCAGGGAGTGGGCAGTGTGCTTCTGGGCTAGATAAACTTCTGGGTGTGCATTTTCAATAATAAATATGCTGAGAGATCACCAAAAGAATGCCTTGCAACAACCTTGGGATGATGGTTTCTACCCAAAAATAAGAAACTCAAGGAAACACTGATGTAGGTGGATGGAGAGGTTCTTTCTGGGCAAGGTGGACTTCAGGTATAATAGGAGGAATACCTGGTGATCTTATAATTGTGGAACTGTTCAACAAACCAAAAATTACAAGTTAGGAACCAGAACTCCATGTGGACTCTTATTTTCTCCCCAACCAAGCTGTGGGCTGCTTGGCCACAGACCAGTCTTATGCTGTGTTTTTCCAGGGCTCAATAAATGATCGATGAATGAAATCAAGTAGTCTGTCTAAATTGCACTTGCACATGTGTGTATCTACAGTACCATCTCCTGATTTCCAGGTGAAGACTTGTGAAAAAGGAAAGAAAACCCCTGAACTGAAGTCAGAAGCTCCAGGTTCTCCAACCTTTGTTCTCCCACTGTGCTGTAGATCTCACCACTCAGTGGGGCCCATGGATAGAAACAGCATCTTATTAGAAAGGCAGAAACCTTGACCTGACTCCAGACCTGCTGAATCAGAATCAGTGGGTTAACAAGACCTCCAACTGTACACATGAAAATCTAAGGCATGCTGATAAATGGTCACAGCCTTCATCTCTACATTTGTAAAATGGAACAATGACATTTCTCTGGCAATTTGGTTGTGGCAAGATTTAAATAAGCCAGTATATATAAAAGCAGTTATACGCCTAGCACATAAATGATGCACATTTGTGTCCTGTGAATGAATGAAAAAGATGAATGAATGAATGAAACAGCATAACAATAATAGGTAACATTTATTAAGCACTGGGTATTTTTAGGGCACTGTTTAGGTGCTTTATGTGTATCAATTCACTGGATGGAAGGATGGATGGATGGATGGATGGCCCAAGAGACCGTCAAGGCTGGGGAGGGGACATTGTTACTGGAATGTTTCACAGCTTGCCTCTCCAGTTTTGATGACAGGATTTATATTGGTTTTGCTTTTGTTTCTACTTAGCCTAGAACAAAAGCTATGTATGAAGTATGTCAATTAACTTGATGAACAAGTAATTAGAAAACACAATGGAATTTCTGAGCTAACCAAAGAGTGATTACGATTTCACAGACATTTGTCTGCTTCTTTGGGATTCTTTGCAGTGTCACCACTATAGAACTGAACTGAATACTTTATTAAGGTTCATTCTTTCCTTTGGTAAGTTGTACAAACTACGCTTCTGGACCTCTGCTGGATGCTGGAGATACAGAAAAATTAAGATCGGTTCAACTGGCAGACAGATGCCAAGTGTTCTACACTAGTCAGTTCTAGGCCAAAGCTAAGGAGGTACCAGGACCAAAGGTTCTCAGGCCTCCATCCTCCATCTAGTTTCTACCCTGACCACTGATTGCTTGATTTCCATCACATCGCTCTTCTGCCCCTCCCCCAACCATCAGCGGCTCACCGTGGTCCACCAGTCCCTGTCATACAATGCTGGGCTCCATCTATTTTTCTGTCTCCAATCCAACTATTCTCATCACTCCTGGGACATGCTCACCTCTTCTGTCCCTTTATTCCTTCACGGAGCAGCTTCTCTCCACCTGTTTCCTTTGCTCTCACATGCATTGAGTGCTTTACAAATTCTGCCTCTTCCAACTGGAGACTCAACCTCCTCTGAACTGTCCAGCCATGTGCTTAGACCTTTCCTAGTGCTGCTTAGTCACTTATTTGGGTTCTCTACAGTGGAGGCAGGTGGCCTTGGATTCAAACTCTGCCTCTATTACCAATCTGTGATCTCAGGCCAGTTATTTATGTCAGTAAATGGAGTTAGAACCCTCAGCCTCGCTGGTGGTTTTAAGACTGAGACAATGTACTCAAGTACCAGGGACATTATAGATACCCCATCTTCGTTCTATCACCCTGTGTGTTTTTTGCCTCCCCTACTGCATTCATTACACTGATGCTAAAGAAGTATCTGTTCAGTTGAATTCATGGGCACTGGAACTATTCTAAGGAAGTGACTCTATAGATAGGATAAATAATATACTAATTCCTTGGAATAGCCACTGGGAAACTATCATCTGAGCGCTCCTCATCTTATGGTCCCCAAAGTCAAATAGCTGAAAGTGGCTGGAAAGATGATGCAGCATTTTCCTTGGAGGGCTGCAGTCTGTAATGTCCCCAGGTCAGAGTACATGGTTGGGCCAATGCCACACACTGAAAAGTCAGCAGGCTGGACTAAGTGTACTTGATTTTTAGAATTCACTCAGCAAGCACAGCATTACTTTTCCAGTGGCAAAAGGCAAATGAGAAGTGTTTGAAGAATTAAGTTTCCAGTCTTTCTCCAAACTGTGTATCCTTAATATACTGTCCTAAATACATGGAACTTCCCACTCCAAGGTTCTGCTTATGATGGTCCTTCCATGATAAATTCCCTTGTTCCCTATTTCTGCATCATATCTCCCCCTGCACACCCAGTCCAAATGTTGTCTCCTTCATCAAATCTTTCAATTTCTCTGCTGAATTCACAGCCATCTTACCAGCCTTCCTTTAGGGCATATGTTCCCTTGGGTCACAATTACATGTCCACTTTTGTCCCTGGTCTGAAAGCTTTTTTGTTGTTTACTGAGACAGGGTCTCACTGTGTAGTTCAAACTGGCCTTAAACTCATTATGTAGCCCAGCCGGGCCTCGTGGCAATCCTCCTGCCTCAGCCTCCCAGCCTGGAATTACAGGCATATGCCACCACACCCAGCTTTGAAAGCTTTTCGAGTACAGGATCCATGTCAGTTTCAATGCCCAGAAATCAGAGCCATAAACAGTAGAGTCAATAAATGTTAGATGGATTCTTGGATGTTTGGATGGGTGAAAAAGCAGGGAAAAACCTCAGACCCAAGTTCTTATACCACAGGGAAGTTCCAGCTAGTTTATCCAGGAAGTTGGAAATGTTTCCTTCTACCCAGCCAGAATCTATCGAGTGGCAGGACTGGTTTCAATACTTTTCAACCAAAAAGTTGTAAATCTGCCTAACTATGGTCTGAGAGTTTTCTTTTCTCCAGCAGTCCAGCGAGAACCAGAGACACAGGGCATTTTATGAATTATTGTACAAGCCACGATACGCTGTGTGAGGGGAGGTAGACCAGGTGCTTGTGGAGCTTCTGGCTGATGGGTAACTCGAAACCCCTGGTACTTAACTATGAGCAGTTGTCAAGAAGGGACTTGTGAACAAGGGCATGGCCACTTGTCCCCACCTGTCCTGAAAACACTCCATCCTGAAAAACTCATCCAGCCTCCCAGCTAGAAATGCCTGATAGGTCCCCTTACCCTAGACATGAAATCCCTCTGATCCCCAGAAAAGGGGACCTGGCCCCAGCTGAATTCTTGGAATGGAATTGAGGCCACTGAAGTTTTGCAATGGGGCCAGCACCTAAACTGGGACATCACTCTGGTCCCTTGCACAATCCTCCTGAATGAACCTCAGTTGGGTCACCACTCTGCACTCTGGGCCTGAGGCTTAGGAACTGGATAGTATGGTCCACCCTGAGATGTCTGGTGTCTCAGGTGTGGACGGAGACTAAAATAACATAAGGAAGGTTTAAGTGAGCATGGGAGAATTTCTCTGCCAGTAGCCAGAATATTTTCTGGCCCTTTTACTATAAAGAGCCAATTCAGAAAGCTGCATTTTGAGTACAAAAATAAGAATAGACAACAGGAGGAGTGAAGGTCAAAGTCATAAGGTCAGGGAGGTCTAGTGAGCCAGCTCCAGTCACCTCTTGATTGGCCAGAGCCCTGGTGTGGACTGGCCCTGCCAGGAGCCCTGAGGCTGCCCCTCCCTCTGGTTTTCTGTGGCCATCGTTCTCCCTGCTCCGTGGGTCACTTCTAGGGGAACCTGTCCCAGTCACCGCTGTCCATGTGTGTCTGTGGACATGAGCCTCCTCTCAGAATGGGATCAAGCTAACTCTCAGGGTCCCAGAGGAATCCTAAAGTGACAGCTGACAGTACTCAGCATTGAGACAATTGGACACCAGAACTGTTCTGAGGTATTGGGCAGAAACCTTAGGTGTTCAGGCCTTAGGGGGTCTGCCAGTGTGTACTGTGGTGATACTCACCTGTACCAAAGCTTCATGGATGCCAGATCCCAAGAGATCACCCAACTAGAACAACACCTAACCCACCAGCATACATGCACACATGGACACAATACACACACACACACACACACACACACACACACACACACACACACACGTGTGCAAAGATCCCTAACAAGGACATTTCCCAGCATGCTTTTCTTGGTCGCTCTCATTCACTCAAATGGTGGCCAGATACTGATAAAAGACAACCTGAGCTGGGGACATAGCTCAGGAGCAGACTGCCTGTCTAGAATCCATAAAGCCCTGGGTTCAATCCCCAACACAATAATAAAGAAAACATGCATGCAGCATGAAACTTTGGTTTCAAACTAGAATTTATTAGTATACAAAACTCCATTTCATAGATAAAGTGGCACATCTTTGCAGCTTCTATTGCACCAAGTATTGAAGATTAAAAACACAAACAGAAACATTTGGTTTTGAAAACACTGCAAATAGCCAAGTACAGTACTTTGGTAAATAAAAAATAAAATGGTTCAGATGAACACAAATCTGACGAAAGAAACAGCCTAGGGGAAATGAACTATGGACATCAGATATGGTCATATTTCTCACCCCGAGCTCCATAGATAAGGCAGACTTGCTAAGTCTACAGATCATGACCCCATGGAGGTCTTAAATATCTTCAGACCGAAGCTAGAACAAGAATAGTGCAATTAGGACAAAGAGAAGGCCCCTTCCCTAGACACTCCTGCCCTCCTTCCCAAGGAGACTGAGCACACTGGCACTTTGGAACCAGGAAGGGGAGCACAGAGGTGCCAAGTCCGATCCCCGGCTCTCTTCTCCCCTTCTCTGAGCTTAGTGCTGGTGAGGGATGCTGGGAGGGCAGGTGCCGTGGGAACTGAACCTCAGAGGTGGGAAGACGTGAGAAGCCTCACATCAGCTTGGCTCAAGTTTCAGCTGAGAAACTTGCCAGGGGATCAAACCCCAGGCAGAGGTCTGTGACTGAGCTTGAGTGATTGTCATGGTCAGCTGGCATCAGGGACCTGCTAGATGTTGACAGACAAAGGATGAGAGCCAGACCCCAGAGGTTTCCTCCAGTGATCAGGAACTTCCATGAAGCTCAGCACAGCGAGAAGAAACTCCAAATCATGGGTATGCCCTGATTAAACTCACTGTGCAAAAGTAAGTGCTTTTGTGGGAATTATCCTTGCACTGAACCAGCCCCTTCTCAAGTAACTTCGAAAAGGTACTCAACATTTTAATTGAGCTACAAAGTAGTCCTTATGAGGACAGTTAAACAGAGAGCCTCTAGAAAGAACTGCTTGGAAGAAACTGTTAAGAGCCTGAGGTTCTGAAAGGGAATTTTAGCTGGGAGACAAAAGAGGAGGGCCAGGCTGACCACAAGGCATGGGTCTTTCCTGTGCCCAGCCTCAGAGGGGTGGGAGTTACACACTGGATTCATGCTTACCACAGAGACTCACTCTTATCTCCATTACCAGAAATGCTCAATTTCCCCCTTCTAATACGTGAGGGCAGATTTGTTATAACTTCAATATGCATTTAGATCTTCAATTCAAGGATGACAGGAGAACGTAAAAAGTCCCATTATTAAATAAGATCAGAAGACTGTGGAAGGAAGGCCCAGAGTTTGAGCAAACCCCTGGTCTCCAAGTGAAGGCAAATAAAACCTCACCTAATGAGAATGACAAAACTGAGACACTGCGTCAAACCCTGAGGCTCCAGGAGAGAAGCAGAGCGTCCACTGAGGTACAGAGGTGAAGGGCTATGTATCTGCCCAACATGGGCATCGGGAGGGCTGCAGAGGCAGCACAATCAGGAAGCCCCATCCTCTTCCTGCTCTCAAAGCACCCCCAGTCAGGATGGGAATTCATCACTTCTGACCAGGGATGCAAGTGTTCTCTGTGTCAAACTAAAATGTTGAAGCTGAACATTTCAGAGGTAGACTGAGGGCATTCTATGTCGACCCAATAAAACACAGGCAGACTCTAGTTTCTCAAAAGGGGAGAAACTGCACATTGACTACAGGGTCTCACTGTAAGTGTGGTCCACTGCCAAAGTCCACCCAATTCGACCACATAACGTGTGAGCAACTCTCACCTCACCTGCACAAGGTCCCTCCCAGTGGCCCCCCACACCCCGCCACACTTCACACTGTACCAATTCCCCAGGGAAGAAGGGCAGTGGGCAGTGTTACAGCTCCAGCGGCTCCACAGGGGAGAGCCCACTTCCCGGCTCTCATAATCAAAACTGGCCTAGAAGTGTTCCAGAGCTTACAAAAGAGACTATCGACAACTTCTAACATTGAGGATTCTTCTGCCACAATTTCTCAAGCAGATTTCCTTCCTGAAAGTGTATGTTTATGTCACTGAAAAATTAAATATACATATATATACATTTATATCTCCTGGTGGCAACTATGCTATTTAAAAGTTGTGGTTATGTTGTTTTAATATATCTACTTCTAGCTCAAAGCCGTTGCCACTAACGTTTTAACATTTTTTTCTCTTATTTTGACCTTTAAAAAAAAAAAAATCTTAAAATCCACAAAACCTTTATATGTAGTTGACAGGGCCAGTGAGTAGCTATAAAACATTGCTGCATCCTCTTTCTCCTGGCTTCACTACAAGCTTCCAAGACAATCTCAGGCCAAATTACTCCTGTGTAGCCAAGACATGACCCTGGAAGCTGACGGATTCAGTCCCCGTAGAGATCCACACAAGTAAGTGCACAGGGGCATCAGCTACGAACAGTTGTCACCCCAAGACCAAACACACTGGGCCTCCAACATGGCTGCCAATGAAGTGATCGCCAATGCCTGCTAAGGCAACCAGCCCTCCGGGTTCCATCTGCCTCTCATTTCAGTGAGACTGTGGCAGTGAAGTCTAAATTCAGGCCCTTAGTGAGAAGGTACCATGGAAGTTGGATGCTTGTATCCCATTTCCAATAATTAACACACTAAACAAAAACCAACTGGAAAGCTGTGAAATGATCATAAAAGAAGATTACCAAAATCATTGGATTAGTTTTTAAAACCACTGTTATTGTACCCCAGAAATGCTAGAGCCTATTATCAGAATTAGGTAATTTATAAATAAATGTTCCCAATATTGTCTAGTGACTTTAGCAGCTTCTAAAATTTCAAAAGCCCAGTAAGGCCCAAGGCCACTTCATTAACCAAGTTAATAATGCAATTCTACTACTGTTGACAATGGGTCTCCTGTACACTATTTCTAACTTTGAATTCTGAGTTTCTGGTACATAATCTTGATCTTTCTGAGACGATCTAGTCTTCTGCACGTAAGCAGTACAAAGCAGGTAAGAAAGCTGTTCATTCAGAAAAGCTCAGCCAGCCAGGAATCTGCCCAGAGGTGAAAGAAGACTCGATTCTCAAGCACCTGACTCCACACCCTTAGGGGAAGGCAGCAGAGTGCCTTCCCTTGTTTGGACTGAGTCTTAGAGTCTCAAAGGTGGACTCACCAATGTATAGAGAAAAACTGCTGTGCAGTTCTAAAATCTGTGAAATACTGTGGTGTACTGTAACCAGGAAAAAGCCCACATTACAACGTCCTGGGAGCATGAGAAGTCTCTTGCGCCAACCACACGATCCCAAAGTAAAACAAAAATTTGAAAGATGTCATTAAAACTGAAGAAAGCAAACAGGCTGCTGACAGTAACAATTTGATAGATCCAGAGCCTTCCCAGACAATGACATAACCCTGCGCCTCCAGAGTCTTAACAGAAATCTAGGGGTGAAGGAGACAACAAATAAATTACCTTTTGAGTCGGGATACATTATTTGCCCAAATACTAGGTTCCCAGAAACCGAAGACCTGTGTCTAAGACTGGTTACCTCATTTGGGACAATTTTAAAGTTCACATCCACCACACTCCATTTTGGGAATGTGATCTGTCCACTGCCTCAATCTGTATCAGAGCTCTGGAGTCAATCGCTGGCCTTAGCCAAGGGAGGTCCCTTCCCTGCTGGTCTAACCTAAGTCACTGCCAGCCTCAGGCAAAGCTGGAGTTTTCCTTACATCAAAATCCCCAATGGGGCTTAAATAAAAATAATCAAGGGGCCAGGAATTTAGCTCAGTGGTGCCACCACCTGCCTCGGAAGCACAATGTCCCGAGTTCAATCCCTGGTACCAAAAAAAAAAAAAGAAAAAAAGAAAAATTAAATGCCACCTTCTATGGGACTTCATTTCCAAGACACCAAGAAAATGTAGCGACCTAAATGATCAAGTTACCTTTTATTTCTCTGAAGGCATTTTTCTAAGTCTAGAATCATTGGAAAGAATGTAGTTACTTAAATTGTGAACACAAAAAAACCCTTATATATCCTTCCAGATTTCCTCTCCTATAAAAGCGAATACTATTTTGGCTCTTCCTAGGCATAAACCCAGGAGTCCCAACATCTCCCTTTACAACCACAAACTCTACTCCACAGATAATCAGAATCCCAGAACTGCCTCACAAGTAGTACCACACCATCTTCCTGCCATCGAGAAACAAATACCCAAAACAATACCACTGTCAACTTCTTAGCAGAGTCCCTGACAGTCAGGTGCACTCATCCTATGGCTTGAGTTCCAGTGAAACCATCTGAAATGACATCAGTCAGGAAGGAGAGAGACACAGTTGTTTAATTTCTACCCAGACAGCTGCAGGCCACCCCTCATATTGCATTACTTTGGGAAAACACTATCTGAATTAATTTCTGAATAACCTAGATAAGAATGAAATTAAATCTAAGTATTTTCCTGAGATGGAAATCATTTATAAGCCACCCTATATGTTGATATCTGTTTGAAAATGAAAGAGAAACTAAAAAATGTATCATTCTGAATTTCTAATAATTACTCTAAACTACTTCATGAATAATTACAGCAAAACTCACCCCCCAAGTTAAGGGAAGATCCCAGGGTCACTGAACTCTGATTCTGAGGGCAAACAAAGCCACACTTAAAGGGTTTTTCCTGACCTACCTATCTACCCCTAAAACTCAGTATTTTAAATTGGTATTACAGAATATGAATGCCTTCTCTGCATTTTCATGAAACAAAACGCAGCACTGACAAAACTGAACAAAAAAGAGGCAGCTTGAAAGGAACTAATTCAGTATGAACTTCTTTCTGTGTGGGTTTTGTTGGTTATGTTTCATTCTGTCAAAGGATAGCCTCGCTGGAAAGCCTGGTTTGCCGCACTCCATTTTCCCTCTGCTTCTCACAGTTCCCAGGAGGCCTGAGACTCAGATGTTCAGAGCAGCAAAGGTCTTCACCAAGGTGACTTGTGTGTTCACATCTGCTTCACTTCTGTTGTTGTCCCTATGGCTGCTCCTGCTCTCCAGAGCTTTGAGACGATGCCTTTCCTCTTGTCGTTTCTTCTTCTCCAGCCGATGCTGCTCCCTCCTGTGCTTGTTTGAGACCTGAAAGAGGAGTCAACTGCCAAAGTCAGCCAGCACACTGCCTGCTACAAGGAGATGCTGGGCTCACAGCTACACAGGGCTCGGACTGCTTCTCAGCAAGAACAGAACCAGCCTAAGAGACCACAAACAATCATTTTCCATTACCGCTCCAATTTACATTGAAATGTATATCCCCTTGCTGAACTAGCAAACAAAATCAATTCCATTCTCCTCATAAGCCAATTCAAAAGATGACCTAAAGAGACATTACTCCCAGTCTAGCAAGAGACAACACTCAAAAAGGCCAAAGGGCCTTTTCCCTATTTTAGGAGCCCAGGTAAGTGAAATAAAACACTCAAAGCTCACATCTTTGCCTCTGATTGTGGCTTTTCACCACAGGTAGCATTTTAAATTCAGAACTTCTTAATAGAAGTCTTTCAAATGAACTCCAAAATCAGTAAAATGATGTCTTATCTACTTGTAGGAGTGGGAAGCAGGGAGGGAAATGTACAACTTTTCTAGGAAGTATCTGATGATTTACCAAAAGCCTTAAAAAGATTCAGTTTCCAAGCCCTTTAACCTGTTAACTACACTCCTGGGATTCTATGCAAGAAAATAACTCAAAACACAAAGATGTATATACAAAGCTGTTCATTGCAGACGTGACATTTATGAAAAGTGTAGACTAAAATGGGAAGAACCCACATGCAACGTTACGTGGCAGAAGGCTCCCTGTTTGTACACAGAAGACAGTTTCAGCACATGCATCCTTCTGGTTATCTCTGTGTACACCAAACAAGGTAAAGTCTTCATTCTGCTTCTTGATAAGCCTTTATGCATCCCTCAGATTTTCCACAATAATTACTTTTAGAAATCAAAAGAAAAATACTAACTAACATGAAATTCAGGTTCCCACCACTGCCACAGAATTTTGGCAGCCCACCTTAGCCCTTTCAAGCCCCTCCTTCCTACCTTTGGAAGCTGGTTATGTGCTTTGTTTTCTTCACTAGGGCTGGCTCGTGCCTTACTCTTTTCAGTCTTGCCTTCATTTAAGCTCTGATTTCCAAAGATTCTGGTGCCGGTGCCGCCCTCCTCCCATAAAGGATCACACTGCTTGAGCACTCGGCCACTGGGCTCAGGATTCTCCTCTGTGTCTTACAGAAAAAGGTATTTTATTAAAATTGAGACTCTAACAGACTCATATAATGTGTTTCCCGTGTTAAATGACTCCAACTGCACCTGGATCCCCAAATGACTGTCATTTAGGAAGAAACAATCCTGTTTCAAGCAATTCCTTAAGACAAATTCTAATATCAGGTCGGTACAGTAGGAAATATGAGGACAAAATGATTGGCAAAACTTGGATAAATTTTTAAATAACCTGTGGCTACTAAAATTTGAACTAAGATTAAATAATACTTAAAATGTAGCTCCCAGTCTCACTCTCCGCCTGTCAGGTACACATATTAAACAGCAGATACCAAATAACACTAATCAACGTCAGAAGACCCAGTTACCTACGGCTTTTGAAGATGGCATGCTGATTATCCAAAGTGGATACAAAATATTAACCACTTGGAAAACTATTATGTCAGGAATAGTAAGTAAATACAATCTCTGGCAACAAGTATTTATTGACATCATTTTAAGTAAATGATTCGAGAAATTATTAAGATGCTACACCTTTCTTCCCTCCTCTATGTCACATAATTAAACTCAGTTCAAGTAAAAAAAAAATCTTAATTATCATCAGTTGATAGGTGCTAAGACTCTAAACATTTCCATCAGAAAAACAAGGTATTTCTTCTCATTTGAGTCTTACAAGATCTTACTTCTGGAAAGAATCCTCCCAGAGATGCTTCAACCTTCCAAGAGTGGGTTAGGCCTCCATTCTCATGTATTCTCCTAGCACCCTCTTCCCTACTCCATTAGGTACTATTATGTTACCCAGGCTACCTACCTGTCTCCACCATCCTCTCCCACCCTCAAACTCTTAATGCAGGGCCAGGAACTCATAAAAAATGCCATCATATAGGAAGCACTCAATAAGCAATTGCTGAGTGAATGGATAAACAACAGTGCAACTACTACATGTGAGCTGATTAAAAATATACATTTGGGGGCCGGGGATTTAGCTCAGTACTTTCGCTGCCTACTTGCCTGCTGAGCAAGCACAAGGACCCGAGTTCGAGCCATGGTACAAAAAAAAAATAGTCATAA